ACTGTATATAACCTCGTCAAAATTGACGGGAAAAGTATCTAAATTAACTAAATCCATAGAGCCAGGAGGAAAGAGACAACTAGGAAGACCTAGACGCAGGTCAGAGGATATTACTAAAATGGATCTTAAAGAAATGGGATGGGGTTATATGGATTCGATTAATCTGGCACAGGATAACGATCAGGGGAGGGCTCTTGTGAAATCGGCAATGAAGCTTCAAGTTCCGTAGAATGTTGAGAAAATCTTGAGTAGCTGCGCGGCTGGTGGCTTCTCAAGGAGGGCTTAGCTCCAAGGAGATCTGAATTCCCGTGAAATTAACAGGTGGCCAGCTGGTGCTGGAAACCCCTCCCTTTATGGAACCACAAGTTTCAAAGTCATATTGGATTTAGTGTTTCCAGTACGTTGTTCTGGGTTGAGATGTCGTGCAGTTCGCAGACAACCCGACGTTTCGGAGGAACATACTGCCTCCATCTTCAGGGTCGAAAAGCTAAGCAAGAAACCAAGCAGAACTTGAGCAGCTAGTCAGTTTCTGCTAGTTCCATGTTTGGCTTATTATTCGTCTCTGAACATGGTAACATGCTCCTGCGAAACGTCGAGCTCTCTCTAAACTACACGGAGTTACAACTCAAGAGACAGTACTCTCCGTTCATTGTTATGTTCACAACAGCCCCCCCTCCCATACACTGGTCTCTATCCTGAGTAAAACCAAACCAGTCCACGTGCGCTAGTGTGGGACACATCAAGTGACTGACTGATTCATTAAGTTACTGAATAAATACATGCGTATTTGAGTGATTGTGTTATTATGTGAGTCAGTGATTGAGAGATCTACTGAAGGAGTGAGTGGTTGAGTTACTGAATGACTGAGTTATTGAATAAATACACGAGTGTTTGTGTGATTGTGTTATTGAGTGAAGCGATCTACCGAAGGAGTAAGTGGTTGAGTTACTGAGTGGCTGAGTTATTGAATAAATACACGAGTGTTTGTGTGATTGTGTTATTGTGAGTCAGTGATTGAGCGATCTACTGAAGGAGTGAGTGGTTGAGTTACTGAATAGCTGAGTTATTGAATAAATACACGAGTGTTTGTGTGATTGTGTTATTATGTGAGTCAGTGGTTGAGAGATCTACTGAAGGAGTGAGTGGTTGAGTTACTGAATGACTGAGTTATTGAATAAATACACGAGTGTTTGTGTGATTGTGTTATTGAGTGAAGCGATCTACCGAAGGAGTAAGTGGTTGAGTTACTGAGTGGCTGAGTTATTGAATAAATACACGAGTGTTTGTGTGATTGTGTTATTGTGAGTCAGTGATTGAGCGATCTACTGAAGGAGTGAGTGATTGAGTTATTCAATAAATACATCAGTGTTTGAGTGATTATGTTATTGAGTGAAGCGATCTACCGAAGGAGTGAGTGGTTGAGTTACCGAGTTATCGAATAAATAGACGAGTGTTTGAATGATTGCGTGAGTCAGTGATTGGGCGATCGACAGAAGGAGTGAGTGGTTGAGCTAGTGAGTGATTCAGTTATTGAATAAATACATGAGTGTTTGAGTGATAGATTGAATAAGTTAGTGGACGATCTAATGACTGAGTTACTGAGTGCGTGCGTCAGTGTTTGAGTGACCGATTAAGTGATTTAAATGAGTGACTGAGTAACCAGATGAGTTACTGAGACGCTGGAAGGTAGGTGAGTGTGCCAGCAAGCTGCAAATTACAGAAGCTGCTCGTTCTCATTCTGTTCAACCATTCCGCAAGGGATTTAAATGGGAAGTGTTGATATAACGAGCACAAGGCAAGAGGAGTGCATATGAAAGCTGTGTGGAGTACAGAGAGAATTAATGAAGCTACAGAAGACCTGGAGCTGATGAAACGGAGACATAAATCCTGCAAAATCAGCAGATCTAGTGAAAGAACCTCGGTTTCACTTTCTCCAGCTCGCCTTTCAAGCAGATTAATAATCAGAACGTAATCCTCAGTGTATACAACCGTACATAAGGAAAGGCAGCACTCCTAATACACGAAGACTTATTGTCTATTTAATGACGCTCCAAAATGTAAATATCCCTGTTCTTAATTGAGCACTACGCCACGAAGATATATGGGGGGATGGAGGTATAACACCACGAATTACCTCGGTACTACACAGAAATGAGTGCTCAGCTAAACATTTCAGAAATTTCAGACCCCGTACCTATTGAAGAAGAAGGAAAACAGGGAAAGGAAGAAAAGTAGGATAAGGAGGAACACGAGAGGGGAAAGTGTAAGAAAGGAAGAGAAGGGAAAAAGTGGAGAAAAGGTACTCAAGTGAAACAAGATTAAAAAAAAAACCGGCTGTTCTCTCATATCATCTGTATATATGTATATATGAAGACTTGAACTTGAAAGGATTCAGGAAATTCAAGGAAAAGTAAGTTTGAGTTGTAACACCGTCCATCGACGTTTAGGTGCTGCGTATCGCTTCCACCACGAAACTACAGTGCGTTACAGCCCAGANACCACGAAACTACAGTGCGTACAATCAAGTGCGCGCCGCGGCTGCAATTTGCCGTGAGTCATACCACCGCAGAACGGGTGCAGTCGCGGGGAGGAGTTGTAACACCGTCCATCGACGTTTAGGTGCAGCGTATCGCTTCCACCACGAAACTACAGTGCGTACAATCAAGTGCGCGCCGCGGCTGCAATTTGCCGTGAGTCATACCACCGCAGAACGGGTGCAGTCGCGGGGAGGAGTTGTAACACCGTCCATCGACGTTTAGGTGCAGCGTATCGCTTCCACCACGAAACTACATGGCGTTACAGCCCAGAAAATCGTACTCTCACCACTATAAGAACTTCAACCCACCCCCCAAAAAAGAAAAATATTTTATGGTGTATTTTTTCTATGGACTATTTAACGACGTTATATCATTACAAACTATACACCGCGTCACGTGACGTGGTAGGATAACTAATGAATGATTAATTGGGTGGCAGCAGTTGTTGCCTAATCGAGGCGCTAACCCGACATTTGCTTGGTAGGACTGAGGAAAACCACGAAGAACGTCATTCAAGGTAGCCAGTGTCTTGTCCGAGATTCCAACCGTGAACCTCCCTAATTCAAGTTTACAGCATTACCTCTAGGTCAGCATGCAATTGATGAACTGCGTGGCCTGTAGTCCGCAAGCGAACTATACCGACCGAGCGACCGACGCTTGTCGAAGTTAATGCAAACTTCTGCGGATAGAGGGTATCACGTGGTCAGCGCAACGAAACTCTCGGCCGTTAATTTCGAGTTTCTAGACCAAAGCCGCTATTTCCTTGAAATAGCTCATCAGTTATCCTCACGAGGCTGAGTGGACCCCGTTCCAGACCCACTACTTCTCAGAAAATCTGGTAGCGATGGGGAATCGAACTCGGGGCATCTGGATGTGTAGCCAGAAACTCTGGCACTAGACCACAGAGGCGGTCGTGTAATTAATGAACACAAAGAATAATTATGTTTCAAAGATGGGAACAAAACAGATTTATAGAACACAAGTTCTCCAGTGTAGAAGTTCTACTCGTTTTACCCTGCCAGCTTTGTTTACAGGAACCTGTTTTTTGGACATCCTGTGGATCGAGATTCATGAATTTACGGTTCAATCTGTTTGGAAGTCCATGCGGGCCGAAGTGAGAAATGAATTCCCATGTAACGTGCACCCAAGTTTGCCATAAAACCAGTCATTTAGCCCACGGCGACGCCCAGCGTCCCTATTTGTAACTCCCAGCCAACTACAGACGCACAGAGGTCGATAATCTTGTAACGTTGGTCTCTGTCCGTCCCACAACAGTTTAACTTCAACAGAAATCATTCATCTCTAGCCAAACTTCTATCCGTAAAGAGGAGCGTGTGTGTCTGTTTGTTCATTTGTTCCACGTATTTCCACATCGTTGCACCTAAAAGGTGACGCTATCCTTGTAACAGGCCGTGAAGGCCCATAGGGTTGTGAGACGTCGAGGCTCTCACATTTTCTCTAGACTGTCGGCTCACAAATGGCACTGAGGTTGTCAGCCTTAAGCACAGGCTGCCCTTTACCTGCCAGGAAGATTCCTGGTACTCATTTCTGTTAGAGGCTGGGTCGACCCCAGGGCCATAGTGCGGCTGGAAAGATTAGGTCAATTCAAAAATTCTATGATCTCATCGGGAATCGAACCCGTGACCTTCCGGCTTGTAGCATAGTGCCCAACCAACTCCGCGTGCACTCTTGTTGCACCTACTTAGACCAAATTTGATATTATGGAACAGGGCCTCAATGAGGAGGTGTGAAACACTTCAAAAAGTGTATGGGTTCGAATCCAAGTCAGCTTCTATCCCCATTAGCTTTTTTGTAACAAAGGCAACAGGATAGTGAGAACAATGGTGTTGTGCCAATGCTATCGTGATAACATGGGTATTGTGACAATGCTACCGTGATAACATGGGTTTGAGACAACGCTATCATGGTAACATGGGGATTGTGACAACGCTATCGTGATAACATGGGGATTGTGACAATGCTATCGTGATACCATGGGTTTGAGACAATGCTATCATGATAACATGGGGATTGTGACAACGCTATCGTGATAACATGGGGATTGTGACAATTTTATCATGATAGCATGGGGTTGTAACAATACTATCATGAAAATAACGGGGTTCTAATAATGGTACCGTGATGACAATGGAATTGTGAAAATGCTATCGTGATAATTATGGGATCGTTTTTACAACTGGTTTGACTGATGGATAAACTTCTTGATTCTTGGTTTCAGTAACGGAATTTTGCCAGCTACACAGACTACATTGCTTCAAGTGCTAGGATAACTTTTGAAATGGAAAGGATATTTCTGCACATGCACTTTTCCTTCTCAAACAATGTAAAATAACAAAATTGAATAGAATAGGCTGTATCTATAGGCTTATTCGAAGGCGATCGGCCGCGGTTTTAGAACCGATCTAAGTTATTTTAACTAGTATATCGGAACTAATTTCTTACCATGGCGTTAGGTGTGACGAGTCGGAGATGCAACTCCACCGCTTCTTGAAGCTTATCCTTTGTGAAAAACTTGTAAATATCGCAGACTTCGTCGCCTAGTATGTTCGCAAGAGCGTTGATTCCGCCCACACACCCTGCAATATAAAGGATGTGTCTCCGTAAACGTGGCTTTCATCTTAGTTAAAGTCAAAGCACGAAATTGGCATTATAATCTAATTTTATACACTTCGTACAAAACAACACATAAAAATGTTGAATTATGCAACACACGTTACACTCGCTTCTCTTATTACACATTAACTGAACAGGTTGGTCTCACTTTAACACTCGGTGGATGCTCTATTTGAATCACAGCCAAGACACCACCTACATTGGTAGATGATTTCCGTGATATTCCTCAGTCCCTCCGGGTCAATTCCAGGAAAATATCTCCACTAGGCTAAGATCTCTTCCTTCCAAATCCTTTCCAATTCATAAATAGTCATCCCACCATCAACGCTATTCAATTTAAATACTGATAGCATCGTTAAACAACAATAAATTAAAAAACTACATTTTTGCTTACTTTCTGTTTGGATTTTAGATCCTCTAAGATCCTTGGCCTTTACAAGGCAGATGCCTACTCTTTTTTAATCTGTCAATCATCATTTGGTTTCATAACATAATATTTCCTGAGGTGAAGTTATGTGCCTAACGCCCAACCCCCAACTTGGAGGACAAGGGCTACATTTTATCTCCCTCCTACCATCCGACCTCCCTGTCTGTATTTCTTAAAAGCTTTACGGGTACCATGACGTTTCTCGCCATGATGCAACCCAAAAGTACGCCATGTTCGTGAAAACCAGCCATTGGACCCCAACCTGAGCCAGTTTAACTCATTTTAAACCCCCATACCTATTTCTCTAAAAGTCATTTTCCCGTTATTTTTCTCCGTGATCAAATGCTTTTTTTTAAATTCGATAGTGGGGGGTGGAGTCCAGTTGGGTCCACTCGACACGGCGGCCACTGATTGGCCTATTGTACCTGCCCCGGGTGATTATGATGATGGAGAATTTGGTGGAATGAAGATTGACAGGGGAAACCGAATTACTCGAAGAAAACCCGCCCCAGTGACACTTTCTCCACCACAGATCCCACTTGACCAGACCCGGGATTGAACCCGGGCCGCCGCGGTTGGAAGCCAGCGACTAACCGCTTGAGCTATGGCGCGGTCTTTTTTTTTTTATTATTTCGCTTAGTGGGGGGTGGAGTCCAACTAGGTCCACTCGGCACGGCGGTCACTGATTCGCCTATTGTAGCCTGCCCCGGGTGATTATGATGAAGGACAATTTGGTGGAATGAAGACTCGCAGGGGAAACCGAATTACTCGGAGAAAACCCGCCCCAGTGCCACTTTGTCCACCACAAAGCCCACTTGACCAGACCTGGGATCGAACCCGGGCCGCAGCGGTGGGAAGCCAGCGACTAACCGCTTGAGCTATGGGGCGGCCGATCAAATATTTACTCGCTATTTTTTTTTTTAATTTTCTCGTTTACTTACTGAAAGTCTCTCCCTACCTTTTATAATCAGTTCCTATGAAAGAGCTGATGTCAGTTATACTTCACTGCAGTCTTATTTCTACTGAAATGTGATCAATCTTATAGTGTGACATTACAGCAACACGGGAAGAAATCACTTTAAGATTATGTGATTATGAAACGATAGTAGTGTTTAGTGGCATGGCGAACGTATATCTACGTATTCTCTGGGAATTCCTGAAGTAACCGCAATGCTCAGCGAGAAATATGTTATGAAACACTGGCCTAGATATATATTCACGAGCCTCTTCATTCAAAGTAACCAATTTCAGTTGGAATTCTAATAGAAATTCTTGAGTTAACAGGACAGAGTTCCAGTCAAACTAATTAAGCCGGCTGGATTTTCATTACAGTTTCATCACTGAATCGAGATGTGTCAGTAAACCGCCTAACCACTGGATCAAATATCGGAGTTGGATTATTACTGCCTCTTTTTAGCCTTTTTCAATCGATTCGCCCCACAAACCTCATACTGAGACTTTATTCAGCACTTCTGAGTGATGACTTGATTTGTAACCCTGGAACTATAGCTCGCTCTCGCCGCTTTATTCCCGGGGAAAGCACCCTGCGTTACACATTGTATATAAGGGTGAGTGGGCCCAAGATCCGGTCTGGTCTCGGTGAAGAGATTTGGTTTGTATTCATTGTGGTAGGATGTCCTTATTGTTGTGTTTTGTGTATTGTGTTTTGTTTGAACGTGTTGTCACTTAGTGTAATGTGTGTTACGTGTCTGTTGTGTCCTATTGTGTACTACTGCCACCGGGCTAAAACCCAATTGCAGTATAATAAATAATATATATATATATATAAGAACAGAAAAATCTCTCTCTAGTTCTTCGGTAGTCCAGCCTGTGTTCTATTCATTATAATGATTAATGTATCCTGGCTAACGGAATTTAATTGGAATCTGCCCGGAAGTTTGAGCTCTGTTATTTAAAAACAAAGATATGTGATGAGAGTTATGTGTGATCTTCAACTGTTTATTTTCCTGAAACACTCGTAATTGTAGCCAGATGAAATTGTTTGCTTACCCACTAGGAGCGCTGGTAGAAGAAATCCTGTTGAACCGGCCAGTACTTGAAATTTGTAGTGACGTGTAAGGGATACCACCCTGGATATCTTTGCGATCTGCAGACCACAGAAAATTAGCGATGTACCACAAGAGCACAGAGGCTGAAAATAATCTGCCCTGTGCTTGTAGCGAAAGGTTCATTGCAAAGAAGAGAGGCTGTCCTCTAACCCTTTGAAACTGTGGCATATAAAATGTGTCAATTAGGACATGGTAAAGGCTGGAGAAAAACAGAGGAAAAAGAGGTGAAAAGGAAGTGGATAAGAATAAAGCGAGAATATGTAGAGATAAACAAGCAGAGTGTAAAACTTTCATATAAATGTTAACACAATTTTAACGTTAATTAAATTGGTTCAAGCGATAAGTTTTCTTATTTTAATTCTGAAGTTACCGGATTCGAATCTTGACCCGGACATAAGGTTCTGATTGAGGTTATTCATGTTTCTTGTCAGACACTTCAGAAAAAAGCAGGATATTTCTTTCAATTTAGTCACATTCTTTCGAATTCATTATCTTCGAATCATGTGACACTGTATGGTCTGACCAACAGTATCGTTAAATATACTATACGCAATAATAATGATGTAACACGCCGTGGAGGCTCATAAGACTGTGAGACGTCGAGGCTCCCACAGTTTCTAGACATCCGGCTCACAGATGATGATGAGGTTGTCAGTCTTACGCTCCGGCCGCTCTTTACCAACAGGAAGATTACTGGTACTCATTTCTGTTAGAGACTGAGTCGACTCCAGGGCCATAGTGCGGCTGGAAGGATTAGATCAATTGAAAAATGCAATGACCTCATCGGGAATCGAAACTGAGACCTTGCGGATTGTAGCATAGTGCCTCAACCAATTACACTACCGCGTGCCCCATTTCAAACTCCATAAAACGAGGAGAAATTCTAGAGTAGTTAAGGGACTATAAGCTTCTGAAGAAGAAGGGATCAGATTCACAGAAATGGTTACACAAGTTTAGACCAAGATACTTAGGGCATAGCTCAAAGAGTACGACAATAACTTCTCGCCACGGAGCCTCGGGTCAGTGACTAGCCGTGAGATTCATGGTGGGAAAAGTGACAATGAAGCAGGGTCTTCTTTTCCGTGTTTATTCGGTTTTCACCCGCTTATCACCATTCTGCCATTGCTCGGTACTCATCTGCCGCCGCCTCCTGACCGAGTTAGATAGCCCCGATCATGCAGCACATTATCACATTTTCGGGCTTTAATTTCCTGGCTTAGTCTCTGACCCAGCACTTGGCTGGTTACAGAGTAAGGAGAGTAAGTCTTTTTCACCGGATGACAGCATAAAACAGTCGATAACAAGAGAATGCTGGCTCGGTCGGTATAGCGACAAGAAAACAGACTGAATTGTCAGGGTTTGATTCCCCGAAGAAGCAAGGAAGTGTCAAGAATGGCTCTGCAACCCGCTCAGCCTCCTACCCTGAGGGTTCCCGTAGCCGTTAGCCCGGGGGATGAAACTGACAACTTACGTCCATCTAATATTAAGGTATAGAATGCGTGGGTCTGTACCTTCATTATTACGTGTTCAGAATGGGTCTTTAATTAAACAGAGGGACAACTTTACCTTTAAGTCTTACACAAAGGAGGCTTACATCTGAGTTCGTAACAAAAGCAAATCGAGAATATTGGCTTCCTGTACTCGTATGAAGAATGATAACACTGACTTTGCAATAGCATTTAGCTTAAATGGAACTTTGGAGAAACTTTCATACTACACAGAATTCCTCGAAGCAAGAGAAAGCTAATGGGTTTATAGTACAATTGAAAGGAAACGGGCTGAAGTCTGCGTGTGCTGTTATTTCAAGTGGCTCCGACACTTGAGGCTTCCAGGGTCTTCACAACCCTCCAGGGTTGAAAACAATAATGGAGCAAAACAGTGTGACCAACTTCTCGAAGCAATGAAAGGAATGAAGGTAATAATTACTGGAGAAATGAAGGAAAGATGAAAGATAAAACAGGAACGGAAAAAAGATGACAACTAATTAACGAACTCCATGGAGCTGAGCCCTTCTTGAGAAGAACTTCCCAGCATTTTATGGAACCCGAAGCTTCATTACCGTGTTCACAAGAGCCCTCAACTGGTCCCTATCCTGAGCCAGATCAATCCAGTCCATACGACACCAACCTATATCTCTAAGATCCATTTTAATCTTAACCACCCACTTACATCTTGGCCTTCCCAGTTGCCTCTTTCCTTCTGGCTTTCCCACCAATATCTTACATGCATTCCTATTCTCCAACAATCGTACTATATGCCCTGCCCATCTCATCCTCCTTGACTTGATCACTCTAATTATACTCGAAGAAGAGTACAAGTTATGAAGCTCCTCGTTATGCACTTTTCTCCAACCTCCTGTCACTTCATCTCTCCGGTCCAAATATTCTCCTCAGCACTGTTCAGGAAGATGACAACAGAGGGAGAAGAGCTGAGGACAGGAAGAAAGAAGGGGTGAAAGGAATATGGGTAAGAAAAACTGAACGGAAATATTTTCTTTCTTAACGTACTTACTTGCAAGGGACTTACGGTAGCGCAGTTGGTTGAGGCACGATGCTACAAGCCGGAATGTCGCGGAATCAATTCCCGATGAGGTCATTGCATTTTTAAATTCACCTAATCCTTCCAGCCGCAATATGGCCCTGGGGTCGACTCGGCCTCTAACAGAAATGAGTACCAGGAGTCTTCCTGGGGACTAAAAGGGCTGTCGGCGCGTTTGGTTGACAACTTCAGCGCCATCCGTGAGCCGACTGTGCAGAAAATGTGGGAACCTCGGCGTCTCACAACCCTATTGGCCTACATGCCCGGTTACAGGGATAGCTTTATAATTTTCTTTCTTTCTTGGCGAATTTATTTGCAGCTTACATAACGACACTCTAAGGTTACACCCCGTCGAATGATAAATCGATATGAAAACGAGTTCGAAACGATGTGGAGGTAGATGGTCGTGACTTAATATGAGGATCTAGCCCGACATCTGATGGGAGAGAATGAAAACCTCAGAATAGTCAGTGCCCCGGCAGAAATTCGAATCGGTAACCTTCTAAACCCAAATGAACAATGTAACTGCTTGACAGAGGCCCAAAGAGGCAGGAAAATAAACAAAAGGAGGGGGGAGACAAAGATAATAGAGGATAAATTGTAATACAAAACATTAAACTCCTTGTTATCGGGCATATGTGGCAAATGGGGTGTGTCAGACTGTATTATATGCCGGTTGCATGAGGGAACGTTTTTACGGAATATAATTTTCATGCGAATTTCCAGTCCTCTGATATTTCTATATTCTCTTTAAAATTCATAACAACGCATGTTCCCTTAAAGTTCTTGGAAGACGCAGCAGATTAATGGAGGGGAGGATATAAATATACTGAAACGCAATCACAAATTTTTAATTGACGTCTACTGTTACCTGGCATCGTTACGACGATATGAATCAGGGGAGACGACGTGCAGCGCTGCTAGTGGCGGCTGGGAAAACCACCGCAATTGAAAATATCGTAGCGTGTAGACTCGTTAACAGGTAATAACCGCGAAACAAACATGTTCCCATGGCCACGAAACCACGCGCAACAATAGGGTAACTGTTGGAAACGGTGATCTCTACTAGGTATAACGAGGACACCAGCCGAGCTGCAGTCAGTTGTAAGGGAGACTGTGAAGAGAAGACAGAAGACTGTGTGTGCTGCAGTCGCAGTAATCTTAAGGCTGAAAACCCACTGACGCGACTAGTCGCGAGCGGCTAGCCGCTGTTTGTCGCCCGCGTCCGTTAGCTGTACATATTAGGGGTGTGACAGCTCTGCCGCCTGTGTGCCGCGTTCCAAAACTTAACCGCGCGCGGCTTATAAAAGCAATACAAATAACGGCCGTGAGCGACAACACTCGACAAACCGCGCGCGGCTTGTCGCGTCAGTGGGTTTTCAGCCTTATAGTTATGTGTAGTCACGAGTCGGGTGTTACAGTGGTCAGTAAATCCTATAATCAATCCAAAATCCGTCTATAGTCACTCATACACGTGACAATATGCATGTCGCAATTTGTTTCTGATGTAACTTCAAAAATGATAAATTTTCATTTAAATGTGTGGCGGTTGCATGAGAACCCCGGGAATTTGGGTAGGGTGTAAGCGGGAGTTTACTGTATTATCCTTTTCCTTAAAAATTATCAAACCATGAATCCTGAAAACGTAAAAACGAAAATACATAAAAGGGAAATATAATGCATTTCTCTGTTCGTTATTAGCTTTGTTAGCAACGGGCTGCAACCGCTCTACGCCCTTTTTTTTTTTGATGTTTATTGGGTTCCGGTGGCAATGAAAGTCTTCCTCAGGATCGTTTACGGGTCTTGGATTATGAGACAAAGGGTAATGATAATGCGACTGCACACATTACAATTGCTTACTGGTTTAATATATTATTTGCAGAACACGTCTATCCGTCGGAATCACCAAATTAGAAGTCCCC